ATGACCCTTAGGCACTGCTGAACTACTCCCCCACTCTATAACTGGCTCATTAGGAAACTGGAACTTAACTACTCGAGTTCTACAATCAACTGAGGTATAACAGGCATGAAGCCAGTCCATATCTAGAATAACATCAAAATATACCATGTCTAACTCGACTTAGCCAGCCATGGTGTCCTTGTGATTGACATAAATGGTACAATCACGATAAACTCTCTCAACTAGAATACACTCACCGATAGGTGTAGATACACTGAAGAGCTCACAAAGTTACTTAGGGAGGATATTAAAAATTTATAGCAACATAAGGAGTCACAAAAGATAGACTCACTCATGGATCTAGCAAAGCATATACATCAAAAGTAAAGACTTTGATTATACCAATGACAACATCTGGTGAATTCTCTTGCTCTTGGCGACTGGTGATCGCATATAGATGGTTTGCTCCTCTGCCTGTCCCTGAAGTAGATCCTCTAGGTGCAGCTCTGTCTAGTGGAGCAACTGAAGAAGATTGGGCTCTATTTCCCCCATTACCACTACCTTGCTTGTTCTTAGGGCACTCTCTCATGAAGTAACCATTATGGACGCACTTGAAGCAACCAATGGAGCCATCACGATACACTCTTGAGTGGTTCCTAACACACTTAGCACATGTAGGAGTCTAATTACCTTCTTGTGCCACACTACCTTGAGACAATGCAGGTTTAGCTCTGAAATTCTCCAAATTCTAATTCTTAAACTCACCTTTGTTCCTTGGTGCAGGTGCACTAGCAGACGATGGAGCAAGTCCATTTTTCTTCTGTTGGAAAGATGACCGGTTCACATTGCTCTTGTGTTGTTTGGACTCGTTCCTAGTTGTCTTAAATTTCTTGTTTCAGAACTCTTCTCTATCCCTCAACTTATCTTTCTCAACCTACTGCGCATGGATCATAAGTCTTGTTATGTTTATGTCCCTTATCAACATAGCTGCCTTACCCTTTTTGCTTGACAGACGAGACAACCCAAAAACAAGCAAACTCATCCTTCTCTTCATATCAGCAACCATCTCTGGAGCATAACGGGAAAATTGGGTGAACTTGAGACTGTACTCCTGCACACTCATAGATTCCTACTTAAGAGTGAGGAATTCTATTACCTTTGTCTCTTTTAGCTCATGGGGAAAGAAACTCCCCATGAAGGCACCCTCGAACACAGTCCAGCTCCCAATCGGTTCACCCTTATCTCTGCTCTTCTTCCATTGGTCGAACCATACCCTAGCAACACCCTTCAGTTGGTATGCAACTAGTTCCACTCGTTCGGTATCAGCAACATGCATAACCTCAAAAACTTTTTACAACTCTTCCACAAAGTATTCTAGATACTAAGTGACACTTGAACCGATGAAGTTTGGAGGATGCATCCTTAAGAGCTCACGAACTCTAGATGTATCAGCCATATCCTATAGATCCCCTATCTGCTGACCATCTTGGTTGGCTACCATTTGACTCAACATCCAGATAACATACCGGAACTCAACATTTGTGACCTCTTTTTGGGGTTACACTTTTGGTGCATTGGGTACACCTTAACTCTCAAAATTTCTCCTAACAGGACGACCTCGTACAACTCTTCATGGAGGCATGATCTGAAAAATACACACAAGCACGAATTAGAAAGAAACTTTTATAGAGTTAATATCTATCGCACGAAATGAGTATGAAAGAAGTGAGATAGTTCCTAAATGTTGCTGCCTCCTAATTATAGATGTGGCACGCTTCACAATGATTACTAGGACTCTCCAGACACGGCTTCATAGACACCCTAAGACTCTTGAACTCTGTGCTCTGATACTAAGTTTGTCACGCCCCGAGCCTACACTTTGGACGTGGCCGACACTCAAGAACCATTGTTGGCCCCAAGCGAACCCTTAGCCTGGCTTAACTCTTAGTGAAAGACTTAATCAACAATAAGAGAACTTTAAAAGTAAAGCTCTAACTCAAAATATCTAACTCACAATATTTAAAGAAACATCCACTAGCCAAAACGACAACTCAAGTCTAGAATATAACCACTAAAATGAACAAGACTCATGAACTAATAATGTCTAACTATCTATAAAGACTCTACTAATAGAGATGGACATTGGGGCAAGATCCACGACCTCCAAATTACAAAACGAAACGACTGAAAGTAAATAAGGCATCCTCCGGAAGCAAGGAGGCTCACCAACAACTCTGGAAATCAATTGGATCAACAAAGTGTTAGATGCCAATCCTGGTTACCTGTATCTACATCATAAAAGATGCAGGCCAAATGGCGTCAGTACATGGAATGTACGAGCATGTGAGGGGAAATCAAAAACATGACATAAGCTTGAGCTGGAACTGAAGAAACACTTACCTCGTCTCAACTCAACCCAACTCATTTCAATATAAAGCAATAGAAATAATGCAGTATAAAGAAAAGCTTTAAAACAGTAGATTACAACTCAATGTATTAGAAAATACAATATAAACTTTGTCTGTTTGCAAATATACAAAATAACTCTGTTTGGGAGATTTTCTAACCGACAACCATCAGTATGAGTTATGTGATGGTACAACGTCTATCCCACGCTGCCAAAATTTTCCTATACTTTGCCAGGGTATAGAAATCCTTAACTAAGTGGATCCACTAGTCTATGCTAAAAAGCAATAAGGAATCATCTAAAAAGTATGACCCTCTCTACCCACGTTGGTTACATGGTTTATGGGGTTGTGAGTTGTTAGAACTATCCCCCATATTGGTGCTCAATACTACTTTCAAAATATAACTTACCTCATGACCTTGTTGTGGAGGACTTCATGTTAGTGAAAGTTATGTAGAGGTCTCTCTCGATGAAAAGATGTGTGAAGAAATGGGGGTGGTGAGGCAAACTTGGCTCATGTGTTTGGCCCTAAAGCTTGAACGTGGTGAGAGGCTACAACATCTAATGTCCTTTTATGAGGGATGAGCTCCGTAATTTCACCTAATTCGATGTTATGAGAGAATCAAACTTGAGTGTGAAATTGAATTTTTGGAGGTCAATGTGCGAAAGAATGTGGGTATATGATCCTCCTTGTCAAATGGTCAATAAAAGTGAAGTAGAGTTGGAGTGTCGAGAAAAAGGGATTGTGATATACATTGATGAAAATTTTGGTCTTTGCTACAGAATCAAGCCAATAAAATTCCAAGATGTCAAAATCAAAGAAATGATACTAAAGTTACAAGAAAAAGCAAGAAATGTTATTTATGGCAACTTTAGCTCATTTAGAAGTTAGAGTTTTAATCACTTGAAGGAAAAAAGTTATGAAGTTCAGTGTCGAATGGCCTAGTGATACTCCTTCTCTTGCCAATGACCCTTAACGAAAAATCGACCTAAAGTTGGGTAAGAAATTTAAATCTTCAAAGTGGAGAGATCAAGTGAGCCTCTTTATGCTCTCATATTGTCCCATGCATTTCAACGAAAAATTGATTTGATGTTGGGGAAAAGATTCATCGCCTCGAAATAGAAACACAAAGGTTGATGCAATCGGCGTCGCGTCGTGATATTAAATTGTGAGCTTGATAGGAGGCAATCCATTGGTTTCCAAAATTTTTGATTCATAGTTAAAATTTGAGATTTTAGATTTTTAGATTAGATTTAGAATTTATTTTTTACTAACCTTCATGATTTCAAAGTTTTTGGTGATTGTTTAGGCAGGTTAGGAAGCAAAAACTTTATTGGGATTGAAACACCTTCAAAATGGGAGTTGGAACACTTATTAGGCACTTAAGCTTGCCCAATACATCCTGAACTTGCCGAAAATGATAGTAAATTCATCACTTCTGGTAGCAAATCCTTCATTGTGGTCACGAGAGTCGATGATCACGATCACGATGCATAAAATATCGAGTGCCGTGATCATGAAAGCCACAAGCTGCATTCATGAAAGGTAAATTAAGTTGACAGTAGCAATTGCAAGGAGCGGGTCGGGACCACGATGACTCGCGTGAATTAAACATAAAGAAGCCTTTTAAATTCATTTCAGTGTCTCAAAATATCTCAAAGCAATCCTCAATACTCCCCTTTCTAAAAATAAAGTTGCTTTGATCGCTTATATCATAAATTTCTCATCAGGTTTGCTCTTACCTCAATGTATGCATTGTTTCCCTTCTCTTTGGTTGATTCTTGAGATTGGTAAGTTGTTGAAATGGGTTGATTTTCACCATCAATTTTTATTGTGAATGATGTTGAAATTTTAAGTTTTGCAAATTGTATTTTTGATTGTTGTTGTTGATTGGGTTTAAACTGAAAATGGGGAAAATAGGTGTTTCCATTTGTGTGAAAATGGCTTGAGAACGGGTTGCTCACAAACTGTTCGATGAAATGCCAAAGTTAATTTTATATACTCTGCAATTGAGATGTCTAATCCCAAGACCGCGATGGGTTAAATTTTTAAATGCTGCAATTGCAATGTCTCATTCCGCAATTGTGATGACTTAAAAAAAATTGTGCCATTGTAATGTCTCATCCGCAATTCTAAATACATTAGCAGACATTTGGATACATATGAGAGGGATGTATTTGAGAGGAGAGGGTTATATCAGAGATGGCATAACACATCCAAATACATCATTGGACTTCCGAATACTTCAGCTGACATCCAGATACATAAGTGAGTGTTGTATCCGAGAGGAGAGGGATGTATGAGAGAGAGAAGAGATGTATGAGAGAGGGGATAAGGATGTATCAGCGATAGGAGAGTGATATATCTTAGAGGGGATTTTTTTTTTTTTTGAGATGGTAATATTTTTTTAAAATTATTCTAAAATAAGATATGTATTTAGGTAATTTTCACTTTATCATTAAAAAAAAAAAAGCAGGTACAAGAATGTGTAGGGCATTTCGGCTGATAGGCCCAAAGGTGATGGGCGGAAAAAAGTTGCAAAGGGGAAGCAGCCGAATTGATTGCATAGACGCTCTTTGCTGTGGACACCTGATTCGAATATTTTGTTTGTTCAGTGAAGTGAGAAATAGAGAAGAAGAGTAATGGCGTGGAGACTGAACTCGGGTGATATAGCCGGATTCAAAATTCTATTTAGTCTGGGGATTTTGTACGGATTGATATCGGTCCTTGTATACTCCATCATTCACATGAAGTTCATCACACCTCTTCCCATGGACGCTCCTCCTGATCGGTTCTCTGAGGCCAGAGCTATTGAGCATGTCAGCGTCTTATCAAAGGATATCGGAGGTCGCCAGGTAATGACTCTCTCAATTCCATTTCACATTTCATGCGAATTTCTTTGCCAACAACCCTCAAACCACAGTTTTTGCCCCAAAGAAAATCTCATGCTGTTGATAGTATTGCAAAGATTTGGGTTATCCTTTACTCTCTCTTTTTAAGATATAATATGTGCAGCTAAATATTTTTGTGTACAGCAAGGGCGTCAAGGTCTGAGACTAGCGGCGAAATATATTATGACACAGTTGGAACTGATGAAGGAGCGAGCTCAACCTGGTATTAGGTTGGTCTTATTTAAAACTTTGTTTAACTTGTTAAAGTTATCTTCAGGTAATTCTTAATCTCAATTGCTGCATTAACAATTAGAGATTCTTATTCTTGCAGAATAGAGATAGAAGAGACCATTGTTAATGGCTCATTCAACATGTTCTTTTTACGGCATAGCATCTCTCTGGCTTATAGAAATCATACAAATATTATTATGAGGTATACCAGCTTGAATCTAACGTTTGGTCATATATCTATACATTTCATCATCCCCAAACACTTCAGTTTTTTGTTTTTCTTATTATCTCTCTTTTTTCTTAAAGCATAAAGATAAAGCAGTGTTATTACCTGAATTCTATTCCTCATTTCATCAATTAAAGGAATTTCTTTTTGGTGGAGCGGTGGAGCTCATTTGTAGGAGTCATGGATCTTTTGCCTTTGGAAAATGTTCCTTACACTTTCTTAAATTATGAAAAATCTGAAGAAGTTTGGGAATTACCTGACAAATTGTTATTGATGTTTGATTTGTAACCTCATATACCTAAGGAAAGCATTTTTTTTAAGTTTTTCATTCAAATATGCAACACCTTAATTTTGTTTAATGAAACTGAAAGTAACACAATTAATTGCAGAATCTCATCAGTGGATTCAGGAGAAAATGATTCTGCAGTTTTGATAAATGGCCATTTCGATACTCCACCTGGTTCTCCAGGAGCTGGTGATTGTGGTTCTTGTGTTGGTATGTATATCTTATATTTGATCTGCTTTCCAGCTGATGTCGTAGTTGGTTATATCTATCTTTTTGAGGAGCAGTTGGTTATATCTATCTTGATTGCACTATGACTCAAACAGCATCGATACTCGAGCTAGCCAGACTCTCTGTTGATTCCGGCTGGATTCCACCTAGACCAGTAATATTTCTATTTAATGGAGCTGAAGAACTGTTTATGCTGGTAAGAAGATCCTTATGTGGGACCAACAACAATTTATTTGACCCTGTACTCTGATATTTCTTTTAAAATGGTTAGAGTTTGGATTTTCTCATGTATGCCGCTTGATTTTGGGCTTTAATATGTTCTCTGATTTTCTATTAAGAATAATGGACTTAAAGAATCATGAACGATGCTTGTGTATTACAGGTCGTTTGGTAGAGTGTATAAAAATAATGCTAAATAGAGTGTATTAGTAATGCTTGCATTAACAATGCATGTATTAGTTATGCTTGCATTAATTATACATAGATTATTTTTATGCATTGTTTGGTTTGATGCATTAAAAATAGTATGCATTGCATAAAAAATTTATTTACAAAGATGCCCTCCACTATTGTGGTAGAAAAGATGTAAAAAAGGGTTTGAGGGGCAATTGAGTCTTTAATGATGTTAATGCATGCATTAAAATCATTGCATTGCTAATACCTAGAAATCCATGGTATTAGTAATACACAATTTAATACACAATAGAGTGTATCATTAGTTATACATAGATTGGAAAAGAGTACCAAACAAGGTACTAGCAATACACAAGACTAATGCATGCATTATTTTTCCTAATACACTCTACTAGGGGTCGTTTGGTACAAAGATTAGTAATGCAGGGATTAGTAATGCAGGGATTAGTAGTGCAGTGATTAGTAATGCAAAGTTTATTTTTATCAAGTGTTTGGTTCATTATTTCCCACCTCATTTTGTGTTTGGATTAAAACTCTATAAAAAGCTTCTTTCCAATTATACCTTTGAATTATTAGGTAATTGGGTCAAGGTAGATAATTACCGGACAATATTATTTTTTATGGCCTTCTAACTAGCTATGAGAAGAACAATTTTGTTATCATGTTTGTTATTAGGATAATAATTGTCATCTTAATAATTTGATCACTCACAAAATGTCATTTTTCAATTATAAAAAGATAAACCATCTGCTTTTAAAATCAAAAAGATGGTCAACAATGGTAAAATTGAATAAACCATCTACATTTACACATAAAAATTGCAAGTTGTAGTTTTAATATGTATGCATTTTTTAAATTCTTCAAAATATAAATAATTAGAAAACCACAAATATATATATATAAAATACGTTCAATTAAGATCACAAACGTCATATACAAATAAACAACTCACATTTCAAATTTGTATTGGCCCCCAAGGCCTAGCTCAAGTGGCAAAAGGTGGAGGATTTGTGGCTTAGGTCGCAGGTTCAAGCCCCACACCATGCAAAGCAAAGCTCGGTATTTAAGTGGAGAAGGGTAGAGGGGCGGGCCCATTATCCACCAAGTTTAGAAGGTTGTGATTTGTCCAAAGGGCGGATCACAGACGGATTTCTCGGTTATCAAAAAAATAATAATTTGTATTGGATTTATTTAGTAACAAACAACTCTCTCTAAATAATTTGTAAGCTAATTTACTTAAATAAATTTACTAGTACAAACATAAATCATAAAATCAAGAAAATAATTAAAATGATTTGAGGGATATTTTTTTCTTTATTACTAATACCTCCAAATGGAAGGTATTAGTAATACATCCTATAATACCATGTAGGAGGTATAACTAATTCATGGATTAGTTATACATAGACACAAATTCCTACCAAACATAGTACTAAATAATACCTTACCTAATACATGGATTATTTCTTCTAATGCGGCCTACCAAACGACCCCTTAGAGTTCTAGGAAGTAGGTGCCACTTTCCCATGACTTCCCATTTTCCCAGTGCATGTTTCTTAGAAAATTATGCGGTTCGGCAGTATTTCAGCTTTCCTGAAAATTGTAGTCTTCTATCTCCGTCCTCTGTGCTCCTTAGTCTAATAATGAAAAACGTGATGACTATACATTGTCAGAAACACATTTGTTTTCTCAAATTGTTTTCTGAAATATCTTGAATGATTTTTGGTACTCTTCATGTCATACTTTAAAATCTTACATACCAGTGCAAGATTTTCCTTATATTTATATGGACAAGGTACTAAATTATGATGGTTTCATGATGTAGAGGATAGATACTATTGTCGATTCTGAGAGTCATTTAGATTGAGGAAGTATCTCTCTCTGGTGATTGATAAAGGGGGCTCTTAAGATCTTCTACTACCCTATCTTTACCTCTAGATATGGTTTTATACTGCTTGCGGTAGGCCCTCTGGTTATCTTTAATGTCTCATGATCAACAGTTTTAGAAATCAGCGAACAAATAAGGTTCTGCCTCCTTCGGTTTCTTAGTTTTTCCTTCTGTTCCTTGATTACTGTGACTTTATTTGCATATCTTTTCTTATCAATTGTATCTGGTTTACAATCTCGGATGTAGTTCAATTGTGACAATCAAATGCATTCGAGCATCCATAGAAATACATTTTGTCTTTAATAATATCTCATGGCTTCTTTGAATTTTGATATCTAAAGCTTTATGAATCTCTTCCATGAGCTCAAGGAATTGTAGTTATCTCAATTGTCATTGTTGATGTTCAGAATGCTTTATGTAGAATAGTAGATGATTAAAAAAATCAAGCAAGTTAAAATAAAGAGTTTTCTGATGATTTTCTTAGGGTTCGCACGGTTTCATAACTACACATAGATGGAATGAGACGATTGGAGCATTTATAGATGTTGAAGCTTCTGGGACTGGAGGCCTCGGTAGGTACCTGCATTCATACAATTGTGCCATGTTTATGCTTTCTAGTGCTATGTTGTAATTGTGACAATGTTATGAACGTGACCTTTTTCATTAACATACGAGCTGCCTGCTTTTACAAGCCTGTAAAGAGGGATACATGTAAAGCATAGGGATAAATGTAAAGCATATTTTTCCTTTTTGGCAAATGCTAAAGTTATTGATAGTCAAGGGAGGGTACACTATGGCTTGGAATCATTTTATTGAGAACATTGTCTTCAATGTTGTTCTTTATCTTGGATATCTTGATGTTTAATAGGTTGATAGAGAAGATACAATGAACAAATAAAATGCCTATTAATTATCATAATGGTAGTTATGAGTACTGAAAACTGTATAATCATAGATTCTCTAGTTAAAGACTGATTAGATTTTATATTTGTTAAAAAGTTCTTTCACCGGTTAAGCGTATTAGTTGTAATTTTCTTATATGTTCTTGGCCAATTGTTGCTTCCAAATGCACACGCAAGTGTACGTGGTCGCGCAAGTAATATAGTGACCCTAAAAGAGCCGGATTATCGAACCCAAATGACTTGTCGAGTAACTATTTACTAAATTATACTAAATCTAATTATTTATTTAAGGGAGGATTGCAAAGATGAATTTATATTAACTAAACTAAAAATAAAAATAAAATAACTAAAAAGCAATTAACTAAGAAAAGATAGATGTTTAAACAATCAATGAATGAATCGATCTACGTTTATGATTTAACTAACAATCATGTTTAGCATCAATTTCATCAACTTATTTGATTATCTAGTTGTTGATTCATGGGGTTGATAATATAGTCATGATCTTCCGGCCTCTAACTGTCTACCACAATTGACAACCTAACTACATCGTTGAGCGGAGATAGACTGAACCAACTATGGAGCATTAAGTTGTCTTCCCGTATTTGAGCCAAGCAAGGCACCTAGATATATCCCTATCCTAGACACAAATCAATTCAAGTGATATGCAAGAAAAGATAATGCTCCTTATATTCCACGTTCTATCCCTCTATTTCTCTCCCGAGTTCAAAAGAAGACAATAAATTTATTCTCATGGTTGCCAAACATCAAAATAGTAATCACAAGAATATAAGAACAACCAATATGATAAACAATTATGCCAAATCAAAATCACTAAACAATCATTTTGTAAGTAAATATAATCCAAGAACGAGAAGTTTAACTCCACATAGACATAGAGCAATTACAACGAATCATTCAAAGAAAACATGTAAAATAAATAAAAGAGAAGAAAAGATAAAACCCTAGATCAAAAGTTATTCTCTACAATGTCTCCTCCTCCCTTAATAATTATTGTTATGGACTATTTATAGAGATAGAAAACCCTAAATAAAATAATTGAGTCCAAAACAAATTAGGAATCCAAAACCAAAAGGAATTGGGTTCTGTGTGAAACTGCTTCTGTTCGTTGTGCATATTTCCGCTGCCTTTTTTTTTGAGATAAGGGTAACTTTGTATTCACAAAAAATTCATCATCCAAGGGATGATGAATTGGAAACTTACATCCCACAGGGTGGTGGGCATACCCTCAAAAAGCCATACAGAATTACAAGTTTCCTTTAAAATCGACCATCTCTATGCTTTCCCCTACCAACTCTTGCTTACACCAAAAAAATAAAAGACAAGCATTTCATTTCTATCTTCCGAAAACTATCATTTTGTCCTTCAAAACACCTAGCATTCCTTTCTTTCCATAGAGTCCACCATATACAGGCTTGAATAGTCTTCCACCAATCTTCACTTTTCCCTTTGTTGCCAATTCTTGTCCAGCTATTAAGGAGCTCTATGGTTGTCTTTGGCATCACCCAGCTAACCCCTAGTATACACAAAAACATATTCCACAATTTTGAAGCTGCCTTACAATGAATGAACAAATGATTATTTACTTCTGCTTTCTGCTCACACATAAAGCATCTTGAGCAAAACTGCATCCCCCTTTTTTGTAATGCCTCATGTGTAAGGCAAGCTTTTCTTATGACCAACCAGACAAAACATGCTACTTTTAATGGGCTTCTTGTCTTCCACACTAGCTTCCAAGGCCATATTTTAGTCACTGACTGATTGACATTTATCCTCCAATACTGTGAACATTCCTTTGCTATTTAACTTCCAAATTGGTTTATCCTTTCGTTGAGATATGGCTGGAGGGGTGTTTAGCACCTCTAGTAGCTTGGCCACATCCTCAATTTCCCAGTCATTCAAAGCCCTCCTGAACACTAAGTTCCACCCTTGTTGGCTCCATACTTGAGCAACAGTAGCAGATCTTTGTAAGCTCAAGGTGTAGAGATTTGGGAATAAGTTCCTCAGGCTATCATCCCCTTTCCAGATTTCATTCTAGAAATCTGTTTTCAGACCATTGCCCACACTAATATAAATATTGTTATTGAACTGTGGCCACAACCATCTAATGGTCTTCCACACACAACATCCAAACGACCCCATCACCTCCTCAGTAGTCCATTGGCTAAACAAGCCATACTTCCTTGCTATGAATCTTCTCCATAGGGCTCTATCTTTAGTACAAAATCTCCATAGCCATTTTTGTAGCAAGCAATTATTCTGGATGCTAAGATTTCTCATGCCAAGGCCACCTTGTTTTTTGCCCAAAGTGAGTGTCTCCCATTTCACCAGGTTGTAGCCTTTCTTTTCTTTGTTCCCTTGCCAAATTCGTGGTGCTGCCATCATATGTTGAAGTTCTTTTTTTGCTGCACTTCATAAATAATATATTATTATATTGAATTTAATCCATAAAGCTGTCTGCTTGATTTTCTTCTATAATCTTCCATCTTTAATTCATTTTAGTTCCAAACTTCTTCATCTTCACACCAATTTAATCCTACAAATAAAATACACTATTAAGAATAATCCATAAAATCCATGCTCAAAATGAACAAATATAAATACTAAATGTGAGACAAATAATGATTTAAAATATGCATTTTTGGCCTCACATCAACACCCCACACTTAAACTTGTGCTCGTCCTCGTGCAAGCATTAAAGCTCATCTCAAACAAATCAAATTAGGGACGCCATCACTTTGGTTGATACAAACACTTACGCCATATACAAATTTCAAAATATCAAGTACACTTCCCACTCATTATGCAGATATACAAATAAACAACAACCCTCTAACCTCCTAACCTTAAGGAAGGACTTGGAACTCATCAACTTTAAGCTTGCTCACCTACTCTCATCAAAGAAAGCTAATAAAATAACCTATCTATCATGAAACAAGTGCCCTCACAAGAAGAAATAGTCCACACACTCAAATCAAAAGATTGAATATAAATTAAGGACTTAGTACTAGGAAGTTAGTTTCTTGTTATTTAGGCGGGGTTAATCCAAGAATAATGTATTTAAAGTTATTTGAATTAAATAAAAAGATCAGAAGAAAATTATTTAAGTTTTTGAGTTCTTTAACTGAAGATATTATAGGTTTTCTCTTAACATAGCATTATAGGTTGTAGGAAGAAGACATTTGATTTCCTCTTGCAACACTCCATAACTAGAACCATATCAGGGACCATAACAACTTATTATTAGAGATGAGAGTTGTGAGATATCTAATCCAGCAACAATTGACACAATTGTTGACTTTGTTCCAAGAAGAATCCACTACCAATTTAGCAAGAAAGGAAGCCATAAATGCTTGCTTGGATTCACTCAAGGAGGATTTAGAAAATTCAAAGGCATGTTGAAGCAACTGAAAATGGCAGTCACAATCGAGGTTGGAAAGGTAAAGCAGTGGCTGTAGGTTTAGGAGTAGAAGCTAGTGAAAAATTCCATGATTCCTAAATATACAAAGTTGGATTTTCCACAATTTTGTGGCCACGAGGACCCCTTGGGATGGCTGTACAGGTATGGGCACTTCTTTCGACAACAACAAACAACAAAAGAAGAATATGTTGGACTTGCTTCTTTTCATTTGAAAGGAATCCCACAACTCTGGTTTATTCAACTAGAGAAAGATATGCCTCAATGCTCTTGGGATGTGTTCAAATGTCAATGCAACCTTCGTTCGGATCACCAATTAGAAGTCAAAAGTTGGGAGAATTGGCTAAGTTACGCCAAATTGGATCTACAGTAGATTACCAAAAAAGGTTTTAACAATTGGTTTTGTGGGTTGGTACCCTTTCACCAACGCGAAAATTTGAACACTTAATTAGTGGTCTTGCGGATTACATTGCAATTGAGGTAGAGTTGCATAACCCTCTAGATTTGGCTATAACGATGAGTATTTTCCAGCGAACGCAAGGAACGACCCCTTTGTTCGCCATTGTTAGATGCATGTCGATCAAATACAACATATTTCTCACCTCAACAACCCACCAAATTTGTGAAGAAATTGACCAGAGTTGAAATGGATAAAAGAAGCCATAAGGGACTCTATTTCAACTGTGACAAACTCCATTTATAAGTGTTCACACTCCAGTTAAGGTCTGAGCGTGTGGGGGAGTGTTAAGAAGTCCCACATCGGTAGAGGGATGGGAAATTGGTCTCCTAAATGGACTTGGACAAACCTCCCCTCATGAGCTAGCTTATGGGGTTGAGTTAGGCCGGGTGCCATATCTTTACAAAGATGATGATTGATATTTTGCCTTGGAAGCTAGTCTGGAAACGAATCTCCCTCCAAACATTTCATGCTTCACTTGGACGGTCCTAAAAGGGACATGTCTCACCCAAGATAACCTCATCAAAAGAGGTTTTCAACTAGTACCAAAATGCCTTGGAAGAATTAACCATCTTTTCTTCCACTGTCCAGTTGCTGTAGACTTTTGACATATGTTCTTAGCTACTTTTGACCTAAAGTGGTCTATGCCACTCTCCATCAGAGAAGCTTATACAAGTTGGAGTTCTAGGAAAGTTGAAAATTCCATCAGGATTGTGAGAAATATATGTGAAAAGTATTATTGAATTGTGTATCTAAATTGTTACATTGAGACAC